CTTGGCTAGCTTATGCCCGAAATAACAACACACAAACTGTATTCATTTAACTGCTTGACCCATTTCTATCTAGCCTCTTATAGGCTAACTCTCGCACCTGGACTAGCCCATTTCTAGTAATGTGTGTAAGCACCCCAAGGTGCGCTTACCGGGAAGATTCTAGCCTAAGTCCATCGTGGGTTGGAGCTGCCTGGGAGAGCAGAGCATGGCGTCTCTGCTCCAGAGAGCAGAGCTGTCCGGTCCCCGGGAGCAGAGCAGAGTCTGACCTCACTTCCTCTTCCGCCCAGAATTCTATTCTGTTTATTCCACCCACCTATGTTCTAAGCTATGAGGCCAAGCAGTTGGTTTATTATAATTAACCAATTACCTTCCTCCATCAGACTTGCATGACATTTTTGTTATGATTCAACTGAGGTTATACATTTGGGAAGAAAGAAATGCATACATACTTCGTAGAAGTACAGTGTGTCATTCTAGTGAGACCAAGACTACATGCTATCAGCATGGCCTTCCCAGTTGATGCAGGTCTTGATCATGTCCTTGAGAGAATGTTGGTAAGGTTTCTATTACACCCTTTAATTACAGAATATAAAAACACATTAATTTGTAAAGGGGACTATGGGGAATACGTGTCATGCTAAAATTGTATCCCAGACATTTTCCTTTGCAAAGGAATAGAGCTACTGAAAGGTAAGACGTCCTTGGTGAATCAAGAGAACGGGCTCCATCTACTGTGCTCCCACTTCCTCAAATTTAGATCTCCACACCAGTTTCAAACACAAGTATGTATTTCATACACAACAGAGCAATTGAACATGAAAAGCTCTACAAACCATTTATCAGTAACAGAGGAGGAGAGTTGCTCGATGTTCCTTCAGGATGAAAGCAGTCTCCCACACACTTTAAAGTAACTGACTTTGAATTATGGGTCATGGAAATGAATAGAACTGACGGACTACCTGAAGTTTCCAACACTAGCCTTCTAAAATGCCACCGAGACAAAACCATAAGAGAAGAAGTTCCAAATAGCCAGTCTTTGAAAAGTGCAGCAGAAGATGAGCGAAGTTGAGGAGAAATGGCTGATTGACCAAGGCTCAAGCCGTGGTCGTCTACACAGGTCCTCACAGTATTATTGTTCATTACTGTCTTAGCTACTGTCTATTGCTGTGAACAGAAACCATGGCCAAGGCAACTTATACACCAAAGGCATTTAGCTGGAAGCTTGCTTGCAGTTTCAGAGGGTTGGTTCATGATTACCATAGTGGGGAATGTGGAGGCAGGTAGGCTGGCCTGATCCTGGAGCAGTATAGAAGCTGAGAGATCACATTGGATACAAAGTTGGAGGCAGAAATAATAGGGCGTGTAGTATGTTCTGCCAGGGAGTGTTTGATGATGTCAGCTGAGTGCCTTGGGAAATAAGCATTGGCAATTGTGGCGGTTTGAATGAGAATAGCCCCCACAGCCTCATAAATTTGAGTTTGCTTCCCAGTTGATAGACTCTCTTTGAAGGATTAGGAGATGTGGACTTCTTAGTGGAGGTGTGTCACTAGGATTGGACTTTGTGGTTTCAACAGCCCAGCAACATATGGACCAAAATATATTTGCTTTTTCCTGTTCCTCTTCTTTCTGTCTTCCTTCCCCAATTCTCCCCTCCCCTCCTTACCTCCTTCCATTCTCTTCTCTCTCCTTTTCTTCCCCCCTTCCTCTCTTCTCTCCTTTCCTCCTCTTCCTTAATCCTTTCTTGTCTCCTCTTCTCCTCACCCCCACTCCCTTTCCCCTATCGACCTGTTGGACATGGAGTGCAGGGCCCTGTGTGTGCTGGGACAGGTGCTCTACCACAAATCATGTTTGCTGGAGTATAATCAGTGAAACATGTATGAAATGATAACTATGAGAATAAAACAGAGAAGCAGCAATTTTTGAGTAAAATGCCTGAATGCAATATTGAAAACAAAATACATAGAGACAGACACATACAGAGATGGGGGAATTCCATGGAGCAGTTTGCACCATAGAATCCTGGGAAGGTGTTGAAATAGGAGCGGCAGGGCTGCGTCCCTGGCACCCGGCCGCCCGCATGGCTAGCTTATGCCCAGAAATAATTACACGGAAACTGTATTTTTTAAACACTGCCTGGCCCGTTATCTGTAGCCTCTTATTGGCTAGCTCTTACATATTGTTCTAACCCATTTCTAATAT